TGTACTACCTATTGCGTTTATTACTACAAATTAAACATCATTCTAAAGATGCTGCTGTGGCTGCTGATGTCGTACATTTCTGGATTTGTATCCGGAAATGTACGACAACTTTGTTTAATTATATATATTTCATGGTCAAATTTTTATGCATGAACTATCCAGTCAGTCTTGCCGTAGAATATCTGATATAGTATGTCACAGTCCGCAAATCAAATCCCACACCATGCAAATGATGAAGTAATATACATCTTTGCATTAGCCATATCACTTTAATGGGAACATCTATGGAACCGTTACGACGTCAAGCCTATTTTCACCTCTCATGTGTTACACCACGGGTGCGGAGCCGGTGGACCTTCCCTGCGACTTCCGTACTAGCATTTCTGGCCTTTTATAGAGGGGGAATATAGGACTTGGGGTTGGGGGACGCATGGGTGTTAGGGCCGGATTGGGACACGGGCGTTATTTGGGGAGGGGATGGAAGAGGGTTGGGGTCAAGGGGTAGCATGGGGTTGGGAGGGGGGACATAGTTGAAGTTGTGGTAGGTGCAGAGCATGGGGTTTGTAATTGGTGGGAAGCGGGGAGCTTGGCATCGGGCGGGAAGCATGAGAGTTGGGGTTGGGCGGTCAGCATGGGGTTTGGGGTTTGGGAGGAGCATGGGAGTGTGGAGGGAGAACGGGGATGGGGTGGAGAGAGTGGGGATCGGGATGAGAGCATGGAGTTTGGGGGAAGAAAGCATGGGGGTTGGGGGAACACATGGGATGGGAGATTATGTGGGTGCAGGGAGAGTGTGTGGAGACAGGGAGAGTGTGTGGAGATAGGGAGAGTGTGTAGGGCTGTGTGTAGGGCTGGGAGAGCATGTGGTTACCGGGAGGGTGCATGGCGGCAGGCAGAGCGCACGGTGGAGGTGTAGGGCTACTAGGGCTAGGGCTAGGGGAGCCCGGGAGAGCATGTGGGGGCGGCCGCAGCCGCCACCACCGGGGAGAGCATGTTGTGGAGCATTGCCTCTAATATCGCTGCGGTGGGTGTGACGGCCTGGTTTATGGCTTGCTTAATTGTAGCAGCTTTCATTCCAAGACCGCAACATAAAGGCAAGTTCGTGAGAGGCTCTTCACTGCTAAGGTTGCCAGTGCAATGAACAAATGTTCAAATGTGATATGGATCTTTGTACGTTTTATTCTTTGAAAAGCTGAAATGGATTCCATTTTAAATTGCCCCAATTACAACTAAACAATTGTTTAGCTGTACAAAAGTACAATGCATGCAACGAATTCAACGAACAAACGGACATACAACGAATTGCAATACATCTGTACTGCCTCTTGTCAGATGGGTCTTATGGTCTGCACTGGGACCCTGTAACGCGTAAAGCAACCAGTAACAAGGGGCCCCATTACGTGGGTCCCGTTACAGGGACCATGCATCCATTACAGGGTCGCTTACCCCCTTACAGGGGCCCCATAACAGCCCTGTAACAGGGAACAGGGCATATGGGTCTGTATATGGGCATACATGCTCCCATTGCGCACTTTTACGATATTGTTCGTGAAGCGAATAATATGAGTGTTGTGGATCAAATCTCTTGGTATATTAAGGGCTTAGTTCCTGCACTGCACGGTCGCTGCACTATGGACGATGAGGGCAAGGACTGGCAGGATTTAGAGAAACTCATCCTGTATGCTAGCGGTCAGGAGGTTCGGTGGAAAGCCGGAAAGGACAAAGCACAGCTTGCTGTGGTTACTACGCAAGCTGGCCCGTCTAAGATTACTTCCTCCTCTCGCCCTAAGCATTCTCGCCCTCGGTCCCCTCCTCAACAGGCTTGGAAAACGGTCCGAGCGAAGAAACAGAGGACGTCAACATCTGGTACCCTTCTCAAGTGCCGAGTGTGTTCTCGTCTCAAGCCGGAGAACCAGACTAGGGACGCGCATAAGAAGGACTGCCTTCGACACCTGCAGGAGCAGATGGCTCGGTTGCAGGAGAAGACGTCTTGTTTCAACACGAACAGACAGATTAATTAGGATGCTGGCAAGCGCGAGGGGGTGTCTTGCAAGCAGGCCGTTAGTGCGGTAGCACGCGTAGACCAAGTCTCTCATGGCGAGCCTGACTTGACGACTAGGGACTCTGTTGTTCCGCCTGTTTGCGATCCGTTGATTTGTGATCGGATGTTCCTTCGTGATGGATTTCGAAGAGTTGAGAACGATCTTGGAAGGTGCGCATCCATTGATGATATGTCCATGCCGCACAGCTGAAGCAGGGGTCCGCACAGCAGCTGAGCGAATGGAGCATGTATATGCTTGCGGTTGTCTTTTAACCAACCTATCCCAGCCAAAGCAGGGAGCCGTGCGTTCGAAATAACCAAACGACCACAAATTCCCAGGCCTTCAATAAAGGGGCGGCATAGCATACACCCTGTGGGAGCCGGGCAGGCATAAGTACCCAAGGCCACCTATTCCAAGTCAACAGCAAGATTGGAGCCAGCGACTGAAAGCAGGGGGCGCATCCAGGGAACCACTGGTCTTGGCCGTGCACAACCTCATTTCTGAGCGTTGTTTTCTCTTTCGTGGACTCAGCTGAGAGTGTGATTGAAGCCTGCACTGTGGGCCCATTCCTGGAAGATCACCAATTTACGATACAGGTTTGTAAGTTTTCTCAGGGCCAATCACCGATTGCTGTAATGCACGGCAATGTTTAAGCAGCCCCTTCACACAATTGTGTCCGGTCGTACTGTGCCGAATAAACACTCCGTACAAGACGCCCAAAGCCAGGAGCGAATTTTAACGCGCGGATGCGCGCGTGCGATTCGCAAAATGCGCGTGTACAAGTGTATATAAATTTTCTTGGCGAAAAAGGACGAGGTGCGCCAGCGCGTTGCGCAGGTGGGCATGTTGGCCACAGCCGCACGCGGCATGCAGGCCGGAAATGTGGGTGGCTCCTTTGCCGTAATTGAAAGAACTGAAATCATACAACTTAGCTTGCAAGGCTGGGCTCATGACACGGCCGCGGGAAGAGGCAAGCAAACGGTCGCGTTTTTGGTAGCGCAACGTATACAGCACCTTGTTCAGAGTAAAGTCAAATTACAAAGTTGCGCAAAGTATAACATACATAAACTTAATTAAACATAAGAACAGATAAGACGTTTAGAGCCTTGTCGGTGACATGGACGCCGCTGTTGGCTTTGAACAGCTATTTGCTGTGCATAGGGACGTGCCCGCGTTAGCCGTGTTGCAACAGCTCAGGATGGATTTCAGCCAGCAACAGCCTCAAGAGCTGCTGCACAACCACCGGGAATGTCTTCAGTTGGGCACGTGTAGTTTTGGTCGGCGGGGTCGAGCATCGTACGCATTGCGCACAGAAACCAAGGTGCAGCGTCTCTGTAACATCGCCAACATATCCAGTACGCGGTGGCAGGCTTACCGAGCACGAAATGAAGGGGGGTCGCATCTCACCATTCAACTAAGCATGCATGTGCTCGGTTGAATGCTCGGTAGCGTGCGAGTTTACCTATCAGGATGTTTGTTTGCATATATCCCTCCAAGCGAGAGGGCTTGGACCTATGCTGATGTTCGTTACAAGAAGTGAACTGAGGACTGATGCTACACGTCATGTATACGCGTTGCTTAGCTTGCAATGAGACGCGCCCACCAGAGGGTTGCAAAAACGGTCTAATCCCCCAATCCCGGGGGGTGGTAGTGGTCAGCCATCCCCCCATCCTGGCTGGGGTGACCGACTCCCATCTCCCATCTTAGGGGCCCGGTGCTAATCCCATCCCTTGAGACAGGTTTCCCATCCTGCCAGCCTGGGTCACATCCCCAATCCTATGGCCAGGGTTTCCAATCCCATCCTGCAGCTGTGTTCCCCCAATCCTCAACCTGCCAGCCAGGGTCCCTTCCCAATCCCTTCGACCAGGGCCATCCCCATCCTGCAGCTGTGTCCACAACCGAAAGCTGTCAGCCAGGGTCCCATCCCCATCCCTTGCCAGCTACAAACCTACTCCTTACGTTTACACAGGTGCTGTAATATCGGCTTTCTCTTTAGGCGTAAATCAGGGGCATTGACCAGGGTTATTTTCTATTTCCGCGAGGTATTTTCTCTAGCTCTATGGCTTATTTCCTCTAGCGTCAAATTCCGCCCGGCTGTGTTCGTTCCGAAGCAGACTGAAGCGACAAACGCTCGTTGAAGCGGATCTCGACTGAGGAGGAACTTGCATCACAGAGATCTACGTATCTAATTGCACACTGGCTGCTAGTGCAAATAGCGCGTCCTAAGGGGGAAGGATTGTTATGTTCGATAGACGGCCACAACAACAAATTATAATGCTGTGCTTAGAATGGCAGAACATACAAGGGTGTTCTGTCAAAAAGTCCATGGCTGGGAACGTGCTGATGATGGCGAAGGAACGGGTGCACCATTGGTTCACCCATAGCATAGGTCTTCAGCTGCACAGTCCGGCGCCAACATTCCACGTTGGGTGCGCCAAAGCGCTACGACAAACAACCTGATAACATTACATTAAGCCAGACAGTCCAATTGGAATGCTTTTGAGTCGACTTGGACATCTGCGCAAGAATTGCTCCTATGCACTAATGTGCAGAGATACGTGGAGTTGTGCCACAACAAAACAATGAAGACTGCAAATTTTCTCAGAGTTGTGCATACTGGCTTGGGAATGCGGTGCGGCATAATGCGGCCAGCATCTTCGCGCCTTGCAAATTCAGCTCAGTTTGCATGAATATAACCAATAAAACATCACAGTACTAGAGAAGCAGTTTGTTTGCGGAAGTACATGAAAGCTGAACAACTAACTCCAGAGTGGGCCTCACTTTGAGCCAGGACCCCCAAAGCGGCTTGCTGTTGATAACGGCTTGTTGGCTTAGATGCGACGGAGCGAAGCGACCGGAGCTTCTAAGGCTGGTTCTGTGGTGCTGTCGTACAACTGGGTCGCAGTGGCGACTTCATTCTTGCTGCTCTCCTGGTGAAGTCATTCTGCCTTCACGCAGAAGAGCATACAGCCTTGTCCAACTAGTCAGCGTGACAGGCTGTACTTGGACCCCCAAACCGGCTTGCTGTTGATAACGTCTTGCATGTTGATACGCCTCCTGCAGACTTGTCCCCCAGTAGGGTCTGCAGATTGCATACAGATTTCGTTCGGGTCTTATTCAAAGTGTCCCAAACTTCGTCTTGGAAGACGCCCACATTGTTAAGCGCAAGCTAGTAACAGCCCGACGACCGTTTGTTATCTCTTCCAGAATGGCACCCGATGGTGCCCTGGATGTGGATGTGCATGGGCCGGACAAGGTAAGAACGGGGTTGGACTGCGTCTGACTGAAGAACTGGCAGGGTGCACCAATGGTGCACTTTTCTCACATTTACACCAAGTCGCGTTCCATGCCTGTTCTCTTCCCAATGGTGTTAACCTTCTGCAGAAGCGTCAAAAGCTGGCAAAATTGACGGGGTTGGGCTTCGCCAGGGACATGGCCGAAGTCATCGTGGAAACGCTTGGGATGGACCCCATCGGGCAGTCGGCCGATGCCGCAATCGCCAAAACATGGTCTGAAGAAGGCTTGGTGGACTTGGCGTCAGTGAAGACCGTGGCTGACGGTAAGAACCACTTCAGCCTAATTTGGTTTCACCGCTTGCTGAACAGGACTGGACAGGACTGACCAGGACTGACCAACCACTACAGGGTATACTTTATCCGACGCTTGCGCTCTTTGCAATGGGTCTTGTTTTAGGTCGATGCCTACGCCCATACCAATGGAAGTTTGGGACCCTGGCATGTAACCGACTTTGTGAGCCGCTGCCTGTGACGCCGACTCCATTCGGTTTTGTTTTGAACGAAAGGTGCAAACTTGCTGTTTTGTCACCGCCTGCTTTCTGTCTTCCTTGCTGGCACAGAGGTCGAAGTCAACGCACGGCTGGCGGATGCGGATTCCGAGGTGGCAATCAAGTCGCTGAGGGCCCTCGCCCCGAACCTTAAAGCTCTCCAAGCCCTCAAGCTTGCAAAAGCAGCATGTGCCCCGACTGCACAGCCCGCTGACGAGTTGGGCGAGGAT